CATGGGGCTTGAACTTATGAACTGTGAGATCATGACTTGAGTTAAAGTCAGATGCTTAACTGACTGAACGATGCAGGTGCCCCTAAAATGTATTTTTTAAGTTTATCTATTTTTTGAGAGAGACAGAGAGACTGTATACATGGGAAAGGGGAAGAGAGAGAGGGAGAGAGAATCCCAAGCAGGATCTGCACTGGTAGTGCAGAGTCCCATGTGGGACTCTGTCTTGTGAACCATGAGATCCTGACCTGAGCTGGAGTCTAGAGTTGGATACTTAAACAACTGAGCCACCCAGGCACCCTGAGTTTCTCATTTTTAGACAAATATTCTATTGGCCCAATAAATTCAGCCTCAGGTTCTTCAAACTCTGTTACTCAACCCAGAAATAGTGCAGGGCTTTATTTGGGTTCTTCCTTTATGGGCTGCAAACTAGAGACTTCCTTCATACCCTGCCTTATTTGCTCTTCTTCTCTCAGAAATCACAGTACTGTACTTCCTAGCATCCACTATCTGAAAATAGTTGTTTCTTAGTTCCCATTTTTTAGTTTTTGTTTGTGTAGGTTAGCAGCTTAAAAGAGAGAAGATAAACCAAGTGAGTGCTTTAAAAACTAAGAGACTGTTTAAAAAGAAGAAATATTTTTTAGTGTCAAATGTAACACTGGTCAAGTAGGATTAGGGCTGACCTGTGTCCATTAAGAGCAGCAAATAAGGGCATTTTTGATGTTAATGAGAGTCATTCTAATCAGTCACATTGGGTTGGAGATTATTGGAATGTCATGACCGAGTGTGACCTGTTTGACTCTGTGGTAGTAAACTATAAAGATATAAACTTTTTTTTTCCCACTGATTTAGCATACATGCAAGGTCTAATCATCTTTATATATATGATAACACATTTGAATACGCTGGTCCGGAATACAAAATCTAGAGGAAAACAGGCGTTTTGGGGATTGTTCAAGGAAATTTAGATGCATGACTTCAATCAGCTATGTGATTAGGTTAAAAACAGCTAGACAGGACATTCATTTTTCCATTGCCAATGGCACTACTAAGTTTGAACTACATTTTTAGAAACAAAACAAAAATTTCTCAAGAGTTCCAAAGTTTTCTGTATGAACAGTGTTATAAATTTTTGTGACTGATTTTCTGCATTTTCACCTTTAATCTAAACATCTACTCCATCCCTTGGACTCGTGAATAAGTCGTAAGGAAACTTAAGAGAATTCCATTCTATTCACAAAATTCTGTGATATGGCCAAACTCTTATAATCTCCCAAAATTAAAAGTGATGCCTAATCTGGATACAAATGAGGATGGAATATAAACCAAGTTCCCTTTTAAAAAAATTTAAAAGTAGTTCTGTGTTTGATACTGTTATTTTTACTTGTTGAATAAACATGATGTTGATTGAAGTTGATTGAAAATGTTTTATTACTTTGAACCCCTGTTAAAAATATAAATTTCTGAATAGCTACACACTTCATCATTATGAACAATTACAAAAATTCAGAATCTTCACAAATATTTATGAGCATGTATTCTACCATTTAAAAAATTTGGATGTATAATCTAAATGAACAGTGATTTGAGATTTATGGCTTCCCTTTCTTTGTGTCATGGATAATTTCTCTGTGCTGAGGTGTGAACACACACATCATTTGAGCTTTCACTGAAGTAGAATACAAAGCCAGCCATCTTTCACTAGCAGGGGAATAGTGCATAAATCCTCTGTTGCGAAATAAACATTACATCTAATTATGATTTAAGTTTGATGTTGGCTATAGTACTATCCAAACATATGGTTAATGGTCCCTTTTATTCTCCACTATAACTTCCTGATAAACTTTCTGATTTGGAAAGGCCCCAGTGTCTACTTGTACTGTTATCGAGTCTTTAAGAATTAGTGCTTTGGTATTATATAATAAATTGGGTAGCAGTCACTTCATATTTTAGTTAAAGGATAAGAATGTCTCAAAAGACATTTTAAAATGTATTACATGACTATAGTTTCCATAATATATCATAGTTTTCTGTTTCTGATTATGGCCCATTTTATTTAAGTGAGCTGAAAAAAATCATTTAAGTCAAAGGTAATTATCCTTATTTTCAAATTGCATTCTAAATCTGATGTTCTATAAAGATGACTTAGTTGGGGTGACAGCAGTGGGTTATTGTATGCTTAGGAAGCTATGTCTACATTTATTATATAATAAATAACACATTTTGGATCTTTAGGCTTCAAATACCTTTTAGTAGGATTTTTTTCCTGGATAGCAAAGAAGACATAAAAATACTTAATCACAAAGATTAACCAAAAAGAAGGCCTGGTGATTATTGCAATATCAGAATCTGGGAAGATATTTCACCGAACATTTGGACAAGAAAGAGATGATAGATGGAACTGGTCATCATATATCACATCCTGGAAAGAGTCGTCTCCTCTGTAAATTACTACTGGCAGGAGCAGGGACAGGAATGTCCGCAGTAGTGGTGGACATAAGAAGTAAGCTGAGCAATGAAAATGTGAGAGATGCAAAGGGATATCGAGCTAGCCTTGGATCGGGGAATTTGACATGTTGCAGTGCATGTAAGTCTGCATAGAGCTATACATCTGAGAAGGACAATAAAACAGTACCAAAAAGAATCAGGTTATCAATGATGTACAAATACTGTGTGAGGGGACACTCAGACACAAAGAGAGATGGCACCCACATGGGTACCAAGTCAGGACTCACTTATAAGACAGAAGTCATCAGTTATTTAAACAGGGAAAATAGAATATAAAGAATTGTTAACTGGTAATAGGTGATTAGTCACTAAAAAAGGATAGGAAGAGATATATGGGGTCCTGAAGTAGCAGGTACAAAAGTGAAGCTACTATTTCTAGGCTGAGTGAGGGTGAACAGAGTTTGCACATAAGTCTGGTCTATAGAAGCTGTCCGCCATTGTTGCAGGCAGTGAGCAGGCTGGAGCTACCGTTCACGGTCAGAGCATATGTGCAGACTAAAGTTACTCAGAAAGTTGCCTAAGAGAAGAAAGTGGCCTTGAAGTCTCATCTGAAATTCTTTCTGGCTACTGGGCTCCTATGCTAAATAGTAAAATAGTAATAATGACAATAGTGATGAAGAACCAGAACCCAGGACAGAAGTGTCTTCCCACCACTGAGGCCTTATTAGGTCTCTCCAGGACCCACTGTTGACAAAGCCTAACGTTCTGCTACCTAACCACAGAGAAATAGCTACAGGGTCTAACCACAGTATCATAAGGCAGGGGAAGGAAGAGGGAGCTCAGAGCTCAGAGACAGTAAATTGGTCATTGGCACTGCTGATCTCTGAAAATGATTTATTCCAAGCTCCTAATGGCATTTTAGAAGCCTGCTTGGCTTTTTCATTAAATTGCGATGAGATATGAGCTCTATAAATCAGAGCAGAAAGCCTTAAAAGAATATAAGACGAAAAGACACATGGATGAGTAGAAATCAAAAATGAGTGAGATGAAATAAATTATGGAAACTCAGCTAAAAAAGTAATAGCGTAATTAAAAATGCATTGATGGTATGTACATAGAAGAGAATTTTTGCTATTCAAAATGGGCATTATAAAATGGCCAACAAATTTGAGAGGCAAATAGAAAACTCCAGAAAATATTAGGTCCTAATATTACAGATTTTGCAGACAGACACAAGTGGTGTACTTTAAAAATTTCAGGTGTGGGGCGCCTGGGTGGCTCAGCTGGTTAAGCATCCAAATTCAGCTCAGGTCATGATCTCACAGTTCATGAGTTCGGGCTCCACATCAGGCTCTGTGCTGACAGCCAACTCAGAGCCTGGAGTCTGCTTCAGATTCTGTGTCTCCCTCTCTCTCTTACCCTTCCCTGCTCACGCTGTCTTGCTCTCTATCAGAAATAAATGAAACATTAAAAAAAGAAGAAGAAAAATTGCAAGTGACTCTGAAGAAGAAAATTGGTAAATTAGAACAGAACTAGGAGTGCCTGGATGGCTCAGTCAGTTAAGGGTCCGACTTTGGCTCAGGTCATCTCACAGCTTGTGAGTTCAAGTCCTGCGTTGGGCTCTGTGCTGACAGCTCAGAGTCTAGAGCCTGCTTTGGATTTTAATACCTCCCTCTCTCTCTGTCCTCCTCAGCTTGTGCATTCTCTGTCTCTCTCTCTTTCTCTCTCTCTCTCAAAATTAAATAAATAAACAAAAGAACAGAACTAAAAATCAAAAATAAATTTCAATCAAAAGATAATTTTGTTCTCAAACTGAAAGAACTTAACAGATTCCAGTAAATTCATAAAAAGGACTCAAATGTTAAAAAATTCTAGCAAAACTTTGAATTACCTAAGTAAAGAGAACAAGCCTATGCATGCCTTGGAAGAAGAAAATAGTTTACCAGCAAAGCTCCTCAAATCAGGCTCATTTGCAAAACTAAATGCCAGAAAACATCTTAGATGTCACTTCCCTGAGTCCTCTCGGCATCCCCAAATCTGGTTTGGGAGTCTGTATGTTCTCAGAGACTTCTGTGCTTCTATTATGTAATTGTTATTTCATGCTGTTATATATATATATATATATATATACTCGTCTCCTTCTGTTAGGCTGTGAGATAAATCTCTTTACAACTTAAATTCTGTAAAAATGAGATGAAAAGGTAAAATGTCTTTGTCTAAAGTTCACTCTTTGAAACAGAAAGCAACTGAAGAAAACTCATACCTAACTCCTCCTCCTTGCCACAAAAAAAGACAGAAACAAATACATTTTATTTCTTATTCAATAGGATTATGGTTTCTGGACAGTCATCTGTTTTAGTAAATGCAGGAAGCAAGGTTAATGTTATATTCACTGTTGTTTCCCAAGCGACTAAACTAGAACAGTACAAAGCATATAATAGACACATGATTAATATGTGTTTAATGGAAGCATAGAAACATTCGAATTAAAATGTTAAGATATTTCCCATGAAATGGTGCTAATGGTGCTAATGCTGTTTTTATCTCCTCCATAGGCTTGTAACTGCAGCTCGGTGGGATCCTTGGATTTCCAATGCAATATGAACACAGGCCAGTGCAACTGTCATCCCAAATTCTCTGGTGCAAGATGTACAGAGTGCAATCGAGGTCACTGGAAATACCCTCACTGCAGCCCCTGCGAGTGCTTCCTGCCGGGCACTGATGACAAGACCTGCGATTCAGAGACTAAAAAGTGCTCCTGTATCGATCAGACAGGGCAGTGCGCCTGTAAGGTACGCGCTCCTGACAGACATAAGGAAATACTTCGCTGGATTCTGTTTCCATTGCTTAGTTTTAACTTCAATGTCTATTACTCATGCTTTGCTACATTAAACAAATAAAAATTCATTACCAGACAGTTTCTATTCATATATGTTCATTGGCATATCCATACACATATTGGCATAATAAGTTCTCTTGAAGAACTTATTTTCAACCAACACCCAACTTCTTTTCTAATTGGTAGAGATGATGTAATTTTAATAGTAAACTTAAATTTTTCTTTATGTATTTGCTTAAATAGAAGTAATTTGGGAAGGAAAAAAATGACAGTTCTCTTAAGCATCATCAGAGAAAAATCACAGCTAGATAATAGGGCTTATAAAAAACCACTTCTCTTCAAATTAATCCATGATCACTGTACACTGAAAAAATATATTTACTGCTGTGGAAGTTCAGCAAAATTTCATCACGTATGAACACTAACATAACAAACAGCAACTACGTGCAAGATTCAGCTCTCATTAATATTGTTAAATGATGTAGAAAAACAGCCAATTAAAAAGGATAAGAGGGATTTTCCCCCCTTAGATAGATCTAAAAAATCAATCCCAGGATAAATACAGTTAAGACTGTGTCAGGGGTATTTTTTCAAGACAGAGTCTATGCAAAGTGGAACAGAGGAAACAGGAAAATGAAATCCAGGGAGTGATTATGAAAACAGTCTTCAGAATTTCAGAAGATGGCAGCTTCTGCCATTGACAAAACACAAGTCCAATGCCATATTACTACATATTATGATTATATACTCTATTGAGTATGCGTTGTATGCATGTGTATACATTATATAATGATACTCATATGAATCTATATTTTAGCACCCCTGCCTGTGTTATACAACTTTGTATCACATCACTGTCTAGGAGTCAGTGTTTCCACTTTGCTTTTGAAATTTTCATGACTCTTTTGTATTGCTCACAGTGGATATTATGAGATGTGCTGCTTAGGTTTTAAAAACCATATAAGATAACTTTGCAATGTATTTATGTATAAACAAAGCCTGTTTTAAACTTAGGAAATCCTAACAATGAAATTAACCATATCTACCATTTGAGATGTGAATCTAACATTCAGCATTCTTTTTGTTTGTTTGTTTGTTTTTGCTTAATTAAAAAGAAGCATTATTCATTCTCAAGTTCATTTCTCTCATAACTTCATTACGGACTCTGAAGAACTGTCCTCTTCCTTCAGGGGCATGTAGAAGGTGTGCGCTGTGACAGGTGCCGGCCAGGCAAGTTTGGACTTGATGCCAAGAACCCACTTGGCTGCAGCAGCTGCTATTGCTTCGGCGCCACTACCCAGTGCTCTGAAGCCAAAGGACTGATCCGTACGTGGGTGAGTGAGAAGCCGCTGAGCCATGTAATTGTATAAGGTTAGTTCTTGCTGGGGTCTTTCAGCCAGGCATGAGGGATAGGAGACAATGGTAAATCATTTAAGTAACCTTTTCCCTTGTGCCCACTTAGAACTGGGGCCATGTGGCATTAGACAGCTGGAGTAAATGCTCTTTTTCTTCCTAAAAAATAGTTCATTTATTGTTGATAAGGAAATAGATGCCCAGTAAGAAACGGAAATGCCATAAAAGAAGCATTATGTGTTGGGATGGGAGGAAGCTGCATTCTGGAGTGAGGGCTCCAGAGCCTGCATGTGGGTATGTGCAAAGGCAGTGATGAAAACCAGAACTTGCTGTGCATCCATGCTACCCAGCCTTAGAGAATCCCTGATTTTTAGGGTGACAACATTTTCCTTTTCACTCTAATTTTTCTTCAACATTTCCCGCTTTTAAGTTCTACTTCTTATTAGTGTAAAAGGCCAATGTTTACAGATGTAGTCACTATGCAAACAAAGCAGGAAGATTCATGCCTTGCCCTGCTGGTGCACTGTGCACAAGCTTGGTTTCTGGTCGGAACACCTCCTCAGAAGGAGAATGGGGCTGCAGACAGACACGTCTTAAAGGAGTGCCCAAAGGATTTGAACTCAGCCCCCTGCTGTGTTCGGATTCCTATGCAGGTGACTCTAAAGCCCGAGCAGACCATCCTGCCTCTGGTGGACGAGGCCCTTCAACACACCACCACCAAAGGCATCGTTTTTCAACATCCGGAGATTGTTGCACATATGGATCTGGTGAGACAGGAGCTCCATCTGGAACCCTTTTACTGGAAACTTCCAGAACAGTTTGAAGGCAAGAAGGTAAAAGACAAGAACTTCAAAGTCATATGAGAACAAAGTAAAATATACTTTTGGAATCATGCCATGTGGGGCACTATCTAACTCCTCATTCCTCACTTTGTTTCATCAGTTGATGGCCTATGGTGGCAAACTCAAGTACGCAATCTATTTTGAGGCCCGGGAAGAGACAGGCTTCTCTACCTATAATCCTCAAGTTATCATTCGAGGTGGGACTCCTACTCATGCTAGAATTATCATCAGGCATATGGCTGCTCCTCTAATTGGCCAGTTGACAAGGCATGAGATTGAAATAACAGAGGTAAGGTTATTAGTTTGGTGCAAGGATGTCAATGGTTTCACATTTAGTTTCATCAAAGTGGTTTCTTTTCTTATTAACAGAAAGAATGGAAATATTATGGTGATGATCCTCGAATCAGTAGAACCGTGACCCGTGAAGACTTCTTGGATATTCTATATGATATTCATTATATTCTTATCAAGGCAACTTATGGGAATATCATGAGACAAAGCAGGTAAACCCTAATGGAATAAAAGCTAAATCCTTATTTTAGAGTCTATAGGTAAGGTCAGTAAGACATCAGACAAGAAAGACTTCAAAGTGTTTGGTTTGGGAGTGTGATGATAGAAGGCAAAAGCCAAGGATGGTATCCTGGTCACATGGTGGAAGATACTACCATTCCCTCCTCCCCATAAAAAGCAAAATAGTCAATGAGAAGCAAGTTTAAGGGGAAAACGTATATATCAAATTGACCTATGACCTGGTGAGTTTTAGATGTCAGGTCAGATATTCAAGAGAAGAAGCCCGGTAGCCTATAAAGTTGGACAACTGTTGTGTTGTAAGTAGACTTGCTGAGAAAGTGACCTTCGACCTCAGGGGTCCAGACAAGAGCCTGCTGGTTCCCACCTTTTCCAACCATGAGAGTTCCCACACGTTCATCCCAGTGTGCCCTACAACGCCGTCCCTTTCCCTGCATCATGATGTGAAAAGATTGGGAATGGCACTGCATGGAAAAGAACAGAAGAATAATAAGAATAAAGGTGATATCATGAAAGCCAAAGGGTGAGAATCCTATAAAGGAGTAGAGTGTTTTCATATCACCCAAAGAGGACAATTAAAATGAGCCTCTTGAGACTGACACTTGGGATCACACTGGTACCATTCATAGCACCAGCTTTAGTAGAATCCTGGGGCAGATATCAAAGTTTTGAGCAATGAAAGGGACACAGCGACCCTAATAGTATGGGTGTAGTCTCTTATTTTCCATGAACATAAATGTAAAAGGGAGGAGAGGGATAGCGTCAAAAGCCAAAGGAGTGATGGTTTAATCTGACAGAGAAGTAAACTTGTTTACAAACCGGGAGGAAAGGAGTTCATAGCAATATATACATTTAAAACAATCAGATAAAGAAAAAATAATGGGGAATCCAGGAGATTTCAAATAAGAACATATGGTCATGTTCCTAGAGTGGAAGGGACAACTTATTCAGGGAGATAAACTGAGGAATTGCACAGATGTAAGGTTCCTAACATGAAGGCCGGAAGTTGCATGGAGTTGACACACATAGTCTCAATTTCTCTGCATGTCAGTGTCTCTGTTACTTCCTGTAAGAATATGGAATCAATAGATGTCTGAAAATAGTCTTAATATGATAAATTAGTAGATCAGTTTAGGAAAACAAAAGAAAACAATTATGAAGCCTATTATTGGCAAGGTTATGATTATATAAATAGCACATTTCAGTTGTTTAAGCTATACTAAACATAGAAGACAATCTTTTGTCTTTGTTGGAGAAGATCTGTACTGCTCTTCTGATTGTACTATAAGTAGGCACGTTGGGTAAAAGAATAAATCAAGGACCAAAATTCACTTTCATACCTGTCTTTCTATGGTATTCTCTTTATATTTCTCATTTCTAAGATTATTTTATGTGAAATAATAACAAAAGCATGTACTAAAAATATACTATCAGTGATATCATTAATTATTTTAAAATACCAAGTCTAAACCAGACAGCAGACTCCAGGGCATGACTGCATGTCATGGAAGACAGTGAGTAACTTTGCAAGTGTGGAAATTAATAATTATTTTGCAAATTGGTCCATGCTGCAGTCAGAATTCAGTAGCACACAGAACATTTTATTAGTGGAACTGATAGGAACAGTGTTTTCATGCATCTTTCATTATACTTTATTTGCTTTCCTCACACCAATTCCACCTTCTATGGTGGAAAAGGCCACTTATTTTTTTTTTTTTGTTCTTTTCCCCCCATAAGGCTCTTTCTCTTATCATGTTTTTCACAGATCTCCCTAAATAAAGTCTTTTGGTTTAAGAGACCATTTTTTGAAACCTAAGGATAAATAAATAAATACATTGGTTTTTCTAGGCTCAAAAAAACTAAAGCCATTGTGCATCAACACATATGATTGATCAACAACAATAAGAACAAAAAAAGCAAAGGATCTGCCCTTAATTTCCTCATATAGTAGAACTGTGACAAAGGTGAAAAATACATTTGAATCTTTCCCCCAAACCCCTGCCAAAATAGTTAAGACATAACACTGCATTTTTTTCAGTTACAAATTTAAAATAGTCTCAGAAGCAGAGTTTAGGAGTTTTACATATAGCTTAAGACTTTGTACATAATGTCAGTGCTGATGTTGTCTTTTTTTTTTTTCTTTACTTTTGTCTTCTTCTACATTTATAGGAAGGATATAACAACTTTGCATTTCAGTATTGGCTTAAATAGAAACTTGAGTTTGGCCAAATCCCTGATTCAAGCAAAACAGTTGCTCTCTCATCTCCTGAGAAAAAACAGGTGTATTGTACAAATATCTGCTGTTGATACACAATTCAAGTTTTACTTGGTTTTTAGTTTTTTTAATGTTTATTTATATTTGAGAGAGAGAGAGAGCAAGCAGGCGAAGGGCAGAGACAGAGGGAGACACAGAATCCGAAGCAGGCTCCAGGCTCTGAGCTGTCAGCAGAGAGCATGACGTGGGGCTCAAACCTACACACTGCAAGATCATGACCTGAGCTGAAGTCAGACATTTAACCAACTGAGCCACCCAGCCACACTAAGTTTTGCTTTGTTTTTAAATACTCACTAGCCTGTTGTGTGCACACATATGCAAGAGAAGGTAGGATGCTAGGAACTCATGTTGTAAGATGCCAAAGAACTGACTCGTGAACAAACACCAAGTTACCTTCTTACCTCCATGGAGATTCCAGGGGGACATAAAGTTAGAGTCTTTCTTACAGGAGAGGAGTGGTTTGTTTATAGATCTAACAGTTCTGTGTACTATAAGGAGGGGAGGGGGAAATCTGAATTTTAATTGAACATGCGTCTCATAAAGGCTGGCTGATCTTCAGAGTGCAGATTACAATCTAGCGAAGTCAGAGTGTACATTCATAATTCAGTGTCAATAAAACCTACCTATGCTTGTTATAAAGTTTATGATTCAAGCTCCTTTAGCTATTGGAGGTGACTTTTAGTGAAGCAAAACTATTCGTTTTCTCATTTAAAAGTTTATTTGCAGAACATTTCATGTTACCAGTTAGTCAATCATGAAATAGTCTGAGTTTATGGACTGCATATATTTTTAATGCATAATTTCAAATTAATGTAAAGGGTATTGACATTTTCACTAGGAATATTGTTTTCAATTACAAGGACCTTTCCACCAATAGGAAGGGTGAGTTAAGTTACTTGAAGGATTTATTTATTAAAATTAACAAAATAACTAATTTGAAAAGTATTTTATCCTCAAAAAGACATCAGTGTTTAATTAGAGTATGCGCAACCGTTTTCTGGGTGGTTTTCTAAAGTTCTTGAAAGGACATTCAGAGACTCAAGAGGAAGAAGTCAGGCTAGTTGTAAATTAAAAGCAATTTCACTAGTGACTACGGGAGATATTCTAATGGGGAATGACCTTGGTTTATCTGTTTGAAGGAATATAAATGTCTAATTAATTGGCCATGTCTACCTGAAGCCACTCACATTTTAAAATGCGGGGAAAAAAATCTTTATAATAACTTCTCAACAGGACGTCAGACATCTAATTTACTAAACTCCTTATGTTTTATGTGAATATTTTGCTAATGTGTAATCTCAGCCTTTGAGGAAACAAAGATATAGGGAATAAGATGTGGCACACGAGTCCCTGGAATTTAGGCAGCTTTAAAATAATAGGACAGGGGCGCCTGGGTGGCTCAGTTGGGTAAGTGCCCTGCTCTTGATTTCAGCTCAGGTCTTGATCTCATGGCTCGTGGGCTCAAGCCCCACACTGGGCTCTGCGCTGATGGTGTGGGGCCTGCTTAGGATTCTGTCTCCCTCTATCTCTGCCCCTCCCCTGCTCGCTCTCTTATCTCTCTCTCTCAATATAAATAAGTAAACATTTAAAACTTTAAAAAAATAAAACAATAGGACAAGCTCAAGGTTATTGGCAAAAACCTGAGAAGACTATAGGATTAAGCGTTTGCTAGGTGAGCTTAATGTACTGCTGTGATAATCTAAGTAGACACTCCCTGTTTCTAGGATTTCTGAAATCTCAATGGAGGTAGCTGAGCAAGGACGCATAACAGCAGTGACTCCGCCAGCACGGTTAATAGAGAGATGTGATTGTCCCCCAGGCTATTCTGGTTTGTCCTGTGAGGTAAGCTGGCTACTGCTAACCTGCATAAGCTCCATTCACTTAACCAGCCAAATGGGAATACTTCTGGGACTATCTTTGTTACAGTCCGTTTTACTTTCCATGCCTACCCATAACCTATTCTTTTTTTCTTTTTAACCTTCTACTCCCAGCGTGAGATACAGTAAGATGCGGATGATGTTATTGTTACCTAGAAATAGGAATCACATGTGGAGGAAAATATCTGATGAAAAGTAAAAGATTTGTAAAAGTATGGAATAGTCAGGAAACATGAATGTTTTCATAAGGCACATTTAGTATATCTGATTTATTTTCTTGGGATGTCTTCTAAATGGCTAAATACATTTTTTAAGCTGCAGTGATTATGAGACAGGATTATATTGGGCTTTGAAAAATTATTTTTATATAGAACATGGCAAAACATAGCAGACTGTTTCCACATGGGCTTCTCAGAAGGACACATACTGTTCCAATAGTGACACTATCATTCAGTTATTATATTTCTAAAATTGCCTGTTTTACTCTTTGGGATCTGCCTTTGATTATTTTTAGAGTTGGCCTATTTTCTAGATCTTTATCCTCTGGAAGTCTATTTACCTTTAGTGAATATTAAATATTAATAGGAAGAGTATACTATGGGAAAACGTGGAATGGATGAGAAACTGGCCTGGGTTTGCATCTCGACCTCACCATATACTAGGTCTGAGGCCTTGCACTGTTTACTAATCCTTTTTAATCTTCAGCTAGTAAATTCCCAAGCCCCTCACTAACCCCCATCACCCTCACCCTCTCCTACAGACCCATAGCCCTGCCCACAGTGCAACCAGCACAGCTGGCATAGAGAGCCGTTCAGGACCTGCTCCAGCCCTACAGCACATATTCCTTCCTCGTAGGCAGATTGGTTGGTGCCCACAGCATCCCTGGTGAGATATTTTTAATAGCTCTCCCACCCACAACTGAGAAGCATATGAGGATGAAATGAGCTTAAGAACCTAAAGTACTTATTACAGTATCTGGCAGTAGTCAACATTGGTTGATGCTAATAGTATTATTATGGAATAATTCATTGTATATCCATGTATTGATTTCTTTGAAAAAAAAAACTTTCTACATCCTTTGTGTATAGGATTTGACGAATTTTTTAAGTACAGCTCATAAAGCAGGTGATGGCACCAGGTCAAAACTAAAGTAACTTAAAAATAATGAATATAAATATCCTGAGACATCACATATTATAATGAAAAGGGGTTTGGTCTTAGTGGATCCACCCTAGCTTTACACTTGGACAGGGCATTTGGTCTGCTTGTTGCTGGACCTTAGGAATTTTACCTATAGAATCATCCTGAGGATTGATTTAAATGAAAATATGTGCATGGAAGCTGTGTTGTACACTGAAATGATATTCAACTTAATTACCATTATATAAATTCCATGTTGTTCCGAGAAGAACTTCATAAGAATAACTACAAATATCTGTGAAACATCCTTAGAATGATAGATTTGTGACTGAAGATTCTGAAAGACAATATTCATATGAATGTGTCTATTTTGATCATAAACAATCAAATAATCCCTCATTATTAAATCGTAACTCCTACATAGACTATATGTGCTTGTACACATACTAATAGGTATATATATTGTGCTTATATGCACAACCAACCAAAATACACATACACACCCACACTGTAGATGTGAACAATGAATGTGGCACATATAAAACATGCTACCTTTCCAATGAGATAAAAGATTTAAAGATAGAAGACAGAAAGAACTTGAGACTTTTCTAAACAAGTAGAGTTTTATCCCAAGAAACGTTTGATTCTAACATTACTGTGTGCCTTTGGTCAATTCTTTAATCACTATAGGAGTTGTTACATAGTTACCCAATCTATAACACATTGGGTTTTGAAGTTCTAGAAATCTCTGATTTTGTAACATGATTTCACTATAAAAGGTATGGAGTAAGTAGTTAAGATTGACCTTTAGTTTTTCCGAAGAGAAAGCTACTACAGCTTTATTTTTTCTGCACTTATTTAAAATAATACTGTTCACTTACAAATAAAAATGTTAGTAGAGTAGCAAATTATTTTAATTCATCTTACCTTCCATTCTGGATTTTAAATGCTAAAAACTCTTCTTATTGTCATTGGTAGGCTTTTTCTTAAAAAGCATATTTGAAAACATACTTTCCCATTAATCTTAGCAATTTTCCATCATCATATGGAAATGTATATTAGCACAAATAAGGAAAATGATAAATGAAGAAGATTAAGAAAACATACAAACTAGCATCTGCATTGGTGGCTTCATCTGTGTCCTGTGAATTTCACTTAAGCTCCTATTTACAGACAATAATTACAGTAATATCTTAGTATTGAGATTATGGGGATAAAGGCCTATCTCTCATAATAAGGTGCCTGAAGTGTTCTCCACATCCCATTGCCTCTAATCCATTATACATCTTATTTATAATTCATCTTGATTCTAAAGTGTAATTACCCAAGCATAAAATCTAATCATCAAAGCAAGAGCGAAGGACAGTTTTAAAATAATACTTCCCATTCCAGTAACATATGCTTTGGGTCATGAATACACAAAGCAATTCCTTTACAATATTTTTGCCAAATGTATGGTATTCTAGAGACATTTGCATTTACAAGCTCTTCATTTCATGTTTTTACCCAAAACGTGGTTGCAAATAAATAAAATTAAGCGTTGGTTACTGCTGAAAATATAGCCAATTGTGAAGACGCTTAGCCTTTTGTCTGTTACTAGTAATCTTATGATGCTACAGCCCTGTTCATTGAAAATGTTAGTTCTAGAAATACCTACTTATTACAATTTATGATTTGAACTAAAGACCAGATTACCTTTAAAAGTGAAGGACCAGACCTAATTTCTTTACCACATTTGTTGATGCGGCAGCCATTGACTTTACTATCCTTTATTGAAGCTGTTTCTCACCATTGTCTGGGTTAACATTATTCCCCAACTGACCAAAACAGACCTAAACTCAGGTTGGATTGTATGCAGAAATGGAAAATAGTCAGCACGGAGTATGTGGTTCTCTGCAAGAAGATCATGGCAATCAAACATTTGCAGATGATCTCTAGATCATATGTTGTTCACTTCAGCATCTAGCTCCTTATTCTCATGGTATAATAGGGCTTGTGGCTCATGGTTGAATGGCTGCTGTTTACTGGGTCACCATTCAGAAGTTGTTACTTTTGGCTACTAAAGATAATGTTTAAGCCCCCCTAAAATACATGCCTGTTATCAATCATAAAACTCAAGACAAAATAGTGAAAATAGAATTCTTCTTCCATATGCATATCTCTTGGGATGCCCTTTACCACTTTTGTTGCGTGTGGAAGATCCAAAGGCTGTTTTCATGTGCATAAAATTATTGAGGAGCGTGGTATAGGTAAGTGACATACACTGACATTCTGTTATCCGATGCAGTGTAGAACAGTTGCTGTTGTTTTTATTTTTAGTCTGTCTTCAGTGACTCTATTTAAAAAACTATCTGGAATAGAGGCATCTACGTTGATTTAGTATATGTTGAGCACTAAACATACACCATCTTATTTAACCCTCCCAACAACCTTATAAAAGAAAAAAAACAACTTACCACTTACTGGATCCTGTATAATACCAAGCACGTTTCCTAATACACTTACATCAACATTGACTATGTATTATGATCCCCATTTTGTGGGTGGGAAAATGGAAGCCCAGCCCACAATCACACAGCTAGAGAGCAGCAAAACTGTGATTTGAGCCTGGAAAAGTCTATTTCAAGAAAACTAGACGCACTTACATACTCAATTCGGATGTTATCCAGATCTTTTTGTTCCAGGGGAGAAAACTGTAGCCCACAGTGTTCAAAACCTGCATGAAATTATATGTAGCAAGTGATGAACAAGAATTAAACTGAGGAGTGCCTGGTTGCAAACCTATCTAAGATAGAAAATAGTGTTTCCACTGGCAGCAGCACAAGTCTCTATGTTTCTTAAAGTCTGAAGAGAGAGGTGGGGGGGGGGGGTGTTGCATAACCCTGCACCTGGAGTTTCTCTATTCTCTTTGTCTTCATTTCCTTCTTTCCCTCCTTCCACATTTTGTGCAAATGTGATTCAAACATTTTGATAAGATGCCACATTATAAAAATAAAAATGGAAGGATAACAGAAGACAATTGAGCTACGAATAATTTTTGCACATGGAAAGAGGACTTTGGAAAAGTTTGAGTTAGAAAAAAGGAGATCCTATTAGGGCCCTATTTATTTGCTTTTTTTGAAATTCTCCATTTTGTTTCAGGAAGGATTTTAGACAGCACTTGAAAAAGTAGCTCTTATCTTTCCTCTTTTGTTCCAACTCAAGCGTAATCATTCTCATGAATTTTGCCCCTGTTCACTGAGAAGAAAAACCTCTGATATGAAAAAACTCTTCTCAAGCATATCAAAAAGTGGGGAGAATAAATACAAAAAGGATCCAAGAAAGGAGAGGATTATGGTGGAATAAATAATGTCCAAATCCTTGAAAAAGTGTTTTAAGTCTCTAATGCTTGCATAGTCTCTTTTGCTTTGCTAACTCAGAAATTTAATCTATCAGGACATAAAGTTCATCTAGAATGTTAACACTGAAAGAAAATTCAGAAATCAACTGAGTTAATACACCTGCTCATTTGTGGGAGGGGGAAACCATGTCTCAGTGACACCAGGCGACTTGCCTGGATCCCTCAGACAAAAGTAACATGTAAAATTGGGGCGCCTGGGTGGCTTAGTCGGTTAAGCATCCGACTTTCATTTAGGTCATGGTCTCGCGTTCGTGGGTTCGAGCCCCGCGTCGGGCTCTGTGCTGACTGCCAGCTCAGAGCCTGGAGCCTGTTTCAGTCTGTGACTCCCTCTCTCTCTGACCCTCCCCTGCTCACGCTGTGTCTCTCTCTCCTAGAAATAAATAAATAAATAAAAAAACATTAAAAAAAAAAAGTAACATGTAAAATTAAGGCTTCCATATTCATTTGTGCCACAGTACCAGAGTCTGTACACCTTTAAAAGGCACACATTACCAACGGAGAATGATGAACATATCAATGATTCTCAATTCTGGCTATTTATTAGGCCCACTTAGGAGTTTTAAACCTTGGCCTCACTCTCCACCACTTAAATTAAATAAGAATTTCTGGAGGTGGAGCCAGGTGTCAGTATATAAAACTCCTCAGATGATTCTATGTGCAGCCGGGATTGGAAACCACAAAGATCGGCCTAGAAGGTTCAACAAAGAACTCTACTTGGAGCTCAGGCTCAAACTCCCACTTTGGGTGGTTTTGCTTTTCATCCTGCTGTTTCCTGGGAAGAGCCATAGTGACCAGAGAAACTAGGTGTCTGTTATGGTAAACTTCACCTGCGGCACTCCCCTTCATCTTCCAGTTAATAACATTGAATTTCATATAATTCCTTAATGAAAACTCCTGTCTCTGAACTTTATTCTTCCTCTGAGATCTCTTTTAAACTTTTGTTTGAGGTCTGAAGTGGAGCTAGGACATCTCAATTTGTGTGATTTTCACACTTACACATACACACACACACACATGCACACCCATATGCCCCCTACATACCACACCCTAAGAAAATAAACCAGTAAAATAATTATAACTGTATAGATGTCTAAGGATGAAATTCATGTAAAGAAAATCCAATTTTATTCTATAGTCCACATATGAAAGAATTAAAACTACTCATGCTATGAAATATCTTTAAATACACCTTGACTTGTTTCTTCACTTTCTTAAATGAATTCCACAGCCATAATTCCTATACCTGATTTGGTAACAATAATATGAACCTTTGTTTTAAATAATATGAATAAAGACAATGTATTTAATATGCATTGTACTTAAATTTTAAAATTTAATATGTATTAAAATATATTATTAACTCCACAAGACAAACAGGACTCAAAATATTCTGAATACTGTTCCCAATTTTCTTTACCTGATTGCTTGTAGCTGGGACATTATTTAATCTTGGAATTTCTTATAGGCTAGGATAAAAGCAAAGAGACTGTTAATTAAATGCTTAATGGAGGTACTTTTGCAGTATCCAAATCAAAAGAAGCAAGGAGAGTGCTGAATAATGATCTTTGTCTTTTTCCAAGAAAGCTTTTGTATATTCCACTCTGCATGACCTAGTCCAGAATCAAAAGAATGCAGAGGCATTAGGGAGTTCTTCATGCATATTTGTTTTTCCTGCTTATTCAGCAATCACTTTTCTTTCATCAATGGGAGCAATCCTGGGAGGAAACAAATCCTACATAGCCAAGGTAGTAAAACAATCCCTTTATAACTTCATTGGGATCTGAAAAAGCAACTCTTACCTTTTACTCCCAAATCAAACAATATCTGATAAATGCAGTAGCTTTGATTACTACGAGGACTGAGCCTGGAACACAAGACCGTTCTCATTACCTCTTCAAGAGCTGTGGGGCTTCCTTCCAGAAAGCCAGAGATGTTTTTTTGAGACATTTACATAATAAACCCAAACGAAGATAGAAGTCTTGATTTTGCATATGTCAGCTTTGCTAGCAGTTTTCTGTTTGCTCTCAGATTTTTATTGCAAAATGAAAAAAAAAATGGATCAGGGAAAGATAAATTTTATTGGTGGCCTAATAATCCCAAGACATGAGAATTTTGAATTTGTTGCTTTCATCATCTTTAAATTATATTGATATAAGTAATGCAGCCATGACACTTTTCTATTTATTTAATATTTCCCTGAGTCTCATTGGATATTTGTTAGTAATCCATCAGGCACAGCAGAAGCAGATTTTAGGTTGTCAAAGACATTGGAATTCATACTTTAGTCCAAATGACAACTTTATTTAAAAATAAACCTCTTTTTAGGGGCGCCTGGGTGGCTTAGTCGGTTAAGCGTCCGACTTTCGCTTAGGTCATGATTTCGCGGTTCGTGGGTTCGAGCCCCGCGTCGGGCTCTGTGCTGACTGCCAGCTCAGAGCCTGGAGCCTGTTTCAGAGTCTGTCACTCCCTCTCTCTCTGACCCTCCCCTGCTCACGCTGTCTCTCTCTCTCCTAGAAATAAATAAAATTTAAAAAAAAAAAATAAACCTCTTTTTCAAAAATAAAAAGAGGCTATTTGAAGCTTTTTCAGACTGAGTAGTGTATGCAAATGGCAGCCTTCCTTTGCTAAGGTCTAACGTCTTGGGTGCTCCCTGTATACTTTAAGAACCACACAGAAATACACATTAGGAATCCAAACTCGCACATGTGTTTTTAAGTGATGTCACCTTTAATGTAGGCATGGGGAAAGTAGCCCTGTTTAACCGCTGAAGAACCCAGGTTTTGCTAAATGAAGATTTATAACTTGGCTGATCTAATTGATTTCCTTTTCTTTCAGACATGCATGCCAGGATTTTATCGACTACGGTCTGAGCCAGGCAGCCACATTCCCAGGCCAACCCTGGGCACCTGCGTTCCATGTCAGTGTAATGGACACAGCAGCCTGTGTGACCCTGAAACCTCTATATGCCAGGTATTTACCTGAACCTTCCTCGAAGAAGGCCCATGTGATCATTTACCTTTACACATGCTCAGATACCATGTGCAGAGGTGAGCAAAATTGCAGGGAATTTCATTGTGTACGTGTGTGAAATAAAACACACAGGAAAAAAGACATTTACCATATTATACATTTTTAAAGTAATTAAAAATTGATAATTGGAAAAACCACTGCTCTTGTCAAGAAATAAAATATTAACAGCATTTCAGAAGAACACCTGAGAACACTACTATTTGTTTAAAAATACACGAGGACTTTTTTTCTGATGACATACACAAATAAACTTCTTAAAAATTTGGAAATTATAAAAAATATTAAAAAAAGATAAAAGGCATCTATGATTTAACATAAATATTTAATATTTTAGGTGTTTTCTACTTTATGCATGTGTTTATAAATAAGATTTATATAATACCATGTGTGCCATTTTATGTTCTTTTTAAATGTAGCTATTATGAGCATGTTATGTTGCTGGACGTTCTTTGAAATCTTGTCTCGATTGGATATCCCTTAATTTAACCATTTCCCTTAGAATTCCAGCTACTACTGTTGTTGTTGTTGTCATTGTTTTTGATGTATTCATGCTAACACCCTACTTTCTACCACTGCCATCTACCTTGGAACATTCAGGACTCACGAAATTCAAGTTTGCCACGGCACCACTTAGAGTCCCTCAGACTCTAATCCTCACACAGCGCTGGACATCAGATTTGTGACACCCATTTCCCACTTCTCCTCCTCTTCTGAAACCCTTCCAGTGAGCCTTCTGGAACTCAAGATAGGAACTCAGCAAAATCCCCCACATACTCTCCCTGTTCACTTGGTGTTCTCTTCATTTAGCTCTCCCTGACTTACTGCTCCTCCCACAGCCCTGCAAGGGTATTGTTTTCTCTCATGTTCTTCATTTGCCTGAGCATGAAGGTAGGGCAGGTGTCCTTGCTCCTCACAGCCACTTTCACATCATCCTCCTTTCTCCCCCATAACAACACCCAGCTGTGCATCTCATGCCCTCATCTATTTGTCCACTCCACCTGCTCATTTATGTTCTTTATTAATCCTCAGGTCACCCACCTCCTTCATTGAAGGTGTTTCCTCTGTATCATTGTTCTACCATTAGTCCTATAATAATTCTTGGTGACTTTAATGTCCATTAAATTAACTTTTCCATACCCTTAACTATGTTTCTTGTCCTTACTCCATGGTGGTATCTAGAACTTGTCATTATAGGTAACTGCAATGACTCACAGTCTCAAGGTCAACTATATTCTTCTCTGACCACCATCTCTTTACTCTCCAGTTCATTTCTTGATACATCAACTTCTACCTTTTTAGTTTCATCATTGATGCTCACACCTGTTCATTGTTTCTTACCTCTTTCATGCCTTCACTTTCTCAACCAGCTTAATATTCAACACTCCATTAGTATCACTGCTTTGTAATGGTCATTTCTCTTGCTACTCTTTTACTTATTTTCACTCCATTAATTCTTTTTTTTAAATATTTTTTCTTTTGTTTATTTTTAAGACAGAGACAGAGCATGAGTGGGGGGAGGAGCATAGAGAGAGGGAGACACAGAATCTGAAACAGGCTCCAGGCTCTGAGCTGTCAGCACAGAACTTGATGTGGAGCTCGAACTCACAAACTGTGTGATCATGACCTGAGCCGAAGTCTGATGCTTAACCAACTGAGCCACCCAGGAGCCTCTTCAGTCCATTAATTCTAACACTGGTTAAATTCTATTCCTCCACATCTATGCCTTCTAAGCTGAATGTGGCTAATGAAAAACAGATAAGTATGCTGTCTGATCTCACCATAAATTCATTATCACTCACTTCAGATGGACCCTTTGTGTTGCTCTGCAGTCATGCCACTCTTCTTTAATTCATTTCCTTTCCCACATTTGTGGATGCTTATCTCATATCTTCCCCTTCCTCTTCAAGCCCTTAACCCCTTCCTTCCCCCAACCCTTTTCCAGATAGGCAGCTTCCTATCTTACTCTAATTTTAATGTTTGTGTCTCAAGTCTTTGACCACAAAGTATGATGCTTGTGGTTAGCTTAAGATAAATATTCTTTACCATGTTGAGAAAACTTCTTTTCATTCTTGGCCTGTTAAAGATATCTTCTTTCATTAAAGATAGGATATTTAAAGTGGTCATATGCTTATTTGTGAAGAGTGAAGTAAAGGTAAAGATGCATTTACAATATGATCACATATTTCTTTTTACCTTGAACTGAATGATGAACACTATTATTGGCTAGATGAATAACTGAAAAATATTAACCATCCTTGAATTCCTGAATTAATTACTATTTGTTCAGTATCATACTCCTTCACCAATCTGCTGGCCTTTAAAATTGAATAAGTAATTTCATTAGGGGTATTGTTTATACATTCTTAAGTGAGAATTAAATGCATTTTTCTTTCATATGCAATATTCACTAGTATTTTTAAAAAGGCTACGTTTAATTCATAGGATTAATTTAAAAACATTCATAAAGGAAACAATTTAATTTCATTTTTTAGAGTAAAAACTGTTGTCTTTGTATTGTACTCTTTTGAATTAGCTATTATAGCTATTTTTGTGCTACAAGTCTATTTTTTGAGATATCCAGAGATGAAGTGAAAAATAAATACATGTGCACATCAAATATGCATAACTAGTATAAGTTGCTGTATTCTAAATTTTTATATTTTCCTCAGGGAACATACAACTTTTGAATTTAGGCAACTTTTTTCATTTTTGAAATAGCCCCAGGAGGCAAATAGGAAATAGCTATTATTATTCTGATGGTATAACTGAGGAAACGTGAAACATACTGATTTCTTTTCTATGTGGATCTCAATTTAACATCAGCTCCATTACAGAGAGCAATGCCCTGTACTTGGGTAGAGTGGTCATAAGAATGACTCTGAGGTCAGACTGCTTTGATTCCAATCCTGGCTTCATCTCTTGTAGGCTGTGGAAGCCCAGTCATTTTATCTCATGTCAATGGGGGTCTTAGTTTCCTCATTCATAAAATGTAGATAATAGTAGTACCTATTCATAGAGTTTTTGTAAGGATTCAATGAAATACTTTATAAAGGGTTAGAACACTACTTACTTAGTACATAGTAAGCTCCATCAATGTGATAGCAATGATGATGATGATAAAGATAATAATTACCATACATGTTATCCATCATTTATAGTCTAAGAGTCAATCAGATGATAATAAAAACATGTAAATATCATTATCTCTAGCACTCTGCTAGATTTCCTCACTTTTATTTTCTTTATAGCTTTCTTTAAAAATATGGAGTAGGGAAGAAAAATAGTATAGAAAACTTTACAGTCTAAGCATTTCAACTTTTAAATAAAACCCACATCACTTTGCAACTATTCTCCTCATAATTCCTAATGATACTTACGAGAAAGCTGTTGCTTTACTTTAGACATTAATATATTCTACACAGAGCCATGTTGCTACCAATAGTTTAGTGACTATTGTCCTTTAGGGAAAATTGTCTTCAAAATAGAAGAGCAAAACCTATATGATATTGAACCCGAAGCCAGGGGGAAGAGGAGGTGAGTGAACAAACACTAATCAGTACACGCACATACACCCAACAGACACTCTTAGGTAGGTAAGTAGATAGGTAGGTAGGTTGGTAGGTAGGTAGATACATAGATAGTTAGAAGATAGATGATAGATAGATAGATAGATGATAGTTTTTCAGCGTTATATAACACACACGTCACTATCTACATCTTTACCTGTATCTATATCTATATCTATATCTATATCTATATCTATATCTATATCTATATCTATCTATACATATTTATATCATCACCCCCATCCCGGTCAATATTATTTTTCCAAATTTTTAAAAGGAATAATGAATTCCCAGCTAGCTCAAGTAACTTTTTCTACACCAAATAATTTGTGGAAATATTATTTTCACTCTATTACAATTCTTATATTAAAATGAAAAGAAAAAATAAACCTCCATTATTGATCTGCCTCATTGAAACCACCAGCATCTGTGATTAACCAATTAGCCCTATATTTGGTAAACAGACTCATAACACAAATCTACTGCATTTAAGGTGTTTTGTAAACCTTATTTTGTTGAATTTATCTAACAATATTATCAAAGTAGAAATTGCTAGTGGTATTTTTACAACTCTAAATTAATGCTTAGAAATTTTAAGTAACCTACAGAGCATTGGATAAAATATATTACAATCAGTTTTCAAATACACTACAAAGTGCTACCTATAGACTGTGAAAGAGAGTAAACACACTGTTATCTGATTAAATGATCTTGATTTTGAAGCCCAGGTGAATTATATCCTAGAGTACTGACAGAGTCTGCAAATATGATTAAAAGCCATGTATGAAAAATATTTGCAAAATCATGAAAATATGAAATTTGCCATAGGATGGAAAGCAATGAAATGTCACTCCAGGTTTGTAAAGGAAAGTAAAATGTAGCAAACATTGATTTTGATCTCTAGTAAAACTTAAGGATTGCTGGCTTAACTACTATTTGTCAAATATAGAAAAAATAAACAGTGATAGTTAGAAATCAGTATAATTAACTCAAAATAAAACATAACAGAATAATTGCTGTGGTTACTATATGTATAATATCTGAGACTCTCCCTGAATACCATTACAATATCAAATTTATCAGAAGGTGTGATACATCATATCTCAAAATCAGCAAAAATAATAGCAGTAACATATGTCTAACCTTATGCATGTACCAGGACCAAGGCTGGTCATTGTAGATAGATTTTTTTCACATTTGTTCTTACAATAAGCTTATGGGGTAGATAGAATTGTTCCTCTTTTTACAGTTGATGAGCTAATGCTGACAGAAATTAAGAAATTTGATTAAATCATAAGCCAGTAAAGGCTAGCTCTATGATCCAAACTCTAGTTTGTTTCAATAGGCATTTGACAGAATGTTTCATGATATTTT